CAACTGAAGAACATAGTTCTAAAACCCACATCTCAATATTTAGAATAAAGAGGAAAACATCTAAACATTGAATCAATACATTCATATAAATATATATACATGATTCAGTTAATTCATATGTACAAACATCCATCATCAGATACATACGCAGATGTATCACAAAAGAAATCAAAACAAATGTATCTCCAAAAAGAGCCAAAGGCTTCCTAACTACCCAGATGTTACATATCAGAGCCATCGACCAAAAATAATGAAAACCTGCTTCACAAAAAGGACCTCCAGCAATCCTACTCTACAATGCCTCATAGAGCATCATAAAACAGCAGAAGGGTGAGAAACAATATCATAACAGTCAATACATATAATTATATATCTATACACATATATGGAATTTACACAATTCAAATTCTCACCACATCTCATCACAATGCATATTCACACAATCAAGCATATTCATCAAATCATGCGTCTATACATACTCATCATTTTCCACATAAACATCTAGAATTATGTTCAATTCACTCCATGCATCATATAAAGATGACCAATGCAACTCAAAGAGACCGACTCACGACTCTATGCAGATGCAAATACGGTACCGACTCAATTCAACAGATTCTCCAAGGAATCAAGTATTCAGCAGATTCTCCAAGGAATCAAGTATTCAGCAGATTCTCCAAGGAATCAAATATTCATCAGATTCTCCAAGGAATAGAATATTCAGCAGATTCTTCAAGGAATCAAATACTCAGCAGATTCTCCAAGGAATCAAATACTACAACAGATTCTCCAAGGAATCAACATCGCTAGGATGTACATCATGATGCCTTTTATGCAAAATGACTCACAACATTTCTCTACATGCATACATATTCGCAAATATATCACTATGCATATTCATCGCATATAGGCACATACAATCTATGTACATCCACAATATGCTTATACTCCAATATATATATATATATATATATATATATATATATATATATATATATATATATATATATATATATATATATATATATATATATATATATATATATATATATATATATATATATATATATATATATATATATATATATATATATATATATATATATATATATATATATATATATATATATATATATATATATATATATATATATATATATATATATATATATATATATATATATATATATATATATATATATATATCTTATCTCATATTTCTATTTTCTTTCCTCTTCATTTCCTTCCAAACACTTATCAAATAATTCTCACACAATAACCAACTTAACACTTAATACTAAATGTCTATAATACCCGTTACTCTATTTTCCCGAAAACTCTCCGAATCGGTAAAAATAGCACAACAAGCGAACATAACACATTAGCACATAAATCTCATAATTTAAAACAAATATAAATCAAATAAATCAAAGGACTCAGCAAAATAACGGGAATTCAGAATTTGGGGCATTACAGCTAATACCTTCCCCTTGCGTAACCGACTCCCGAATCCAGGACTTGTTTGCGATGACCTTGTCTTTTCCCTTTTTCGTTAGGTTTTCTCTGAGCGTTTCCTTTCCCTCCTTTGGGATAAATAACGCACGGTGGCGACTCTTCTGTCATTTCGGCCTCGTTTTTCGCAGTAGCGACAATTACATTATTCATTACTTCCACTAATCTGATTTTTGAATTGAAAAAATGAACATTGCATCTGGAAATACATTTATGGATTCTACTTAAATGTCATACGAAAGTGTATTTTCGGATTACTTCAAAGTTGAATATTTTCTGTTATTATTTGCCTTAAATATGGTGCACCCTGATGTTATCCCCAAATCTATTTTGTCTATAGATGTCAAATTCATTAATGTCAAGGTAGATGTTGGCAACCAATTTAAAAATGAACAAAAGTTTGTTGTTCGTAATCATATGTTCCAATGGATCCGCATGGAGGCTGTCAATTAGGGTTTGATGTTGTAATCGGAATGTGAGATAATGGTTAAGATAGAATACTTGCATTTATGACTCTAAGATGCAAAAGAAGAGGTCAATGCACAACTTCAATCCAGAAGTTGAAACGAGATGACACAGGTTCTAGAAAATGTGACTATTTTTCTAAGTTGCATGAATGTCTTTTGAAAAATAATAAACGATGATTTAATGTGATTTGTGGTACATATAATAATGACATGTGTCACAAGTTAGTCGGTCATACCACTGCATGTCGCTTTATGCCTGAAGAGAAGAAAATTGTTTCTAACATGACATTGAGCAAGGTGCATCTAAAAAACATACTTGCAACCTTAAAATATTAAAGACCTAAAAGCATCTCAAATATCAAGCAAACATAGAATGTTTGTTCCCAAAAAAACAAGGATATAAGAGGTGATAAAATAGAAATGCAATAGTTTTTGAAACTTCTGGATGATAACCATTATGTATTTAGGTACCAAGTGTGTGAGGATGCAGAAACCGTTCGAGGTATATTTTGGACTCATCCTGATTCCATAAATTTGTTCAACATATTTCCCAATGTACTCATTATTTATTCAATGTATAAGACTGACAAGTATAACTTTATGTGAGAAAAATGCTACAAAATGCATTTATCCTAACATGTTATTACATCTTCTATTCAATCAACTAAAGTAATAACTCATATTTAGGAGCCTGCATTTTTTATTAAAAGACTTTTCACTATGGTCCATACTAACAATTGTGGTGATATGTTAAAGTTTATTGGATTTTGTTAGACGATAGGATTCAATCTAGATGGGGGTGAATAGATCACAAATTTAAAAAATGGCTGTTGGCAAAAATGATTTTCAAAAGTTTTATGACATAGTGGAAACAACCCGAATTAAATCGTCTAACCGAACCAACTATCGAAAAGCTCGAATATGTGTATAGTTACATAATTGAATGATAATAAACACAAATTTTTCAACAAATATTAATCAGAAACCAATCAAATGCTAAGCTACACGTAATACTTATTTCCAATTATCAAAAATCAATTAAAAGCACTAAAGGCAATTTATTGAGTACTTTGTGTGCAATCGATAATGTTTGGAAATTTAATTTGTTTTTATGATGTTGGTTACTGCATTTTGGTTATCATTTAATACATATGTGATTCTTTGATGCTTATAAAACCGCACTTGATGATGATTTGACAAGTGGATTTGTAGTCTTTCAACAGAGGGATATGACTTGTAAAGTGTGAATTTAAATATTTTCCACAATGCCTCTGGAGCACAACTCATCTTGCATTAACATATTGTTAAATCTCATCCATACCTATACCTCTGTGAACCTCCATTGCAACTTGATCAGGACCTTTGTGAACATATTTATACAAATATTTAATTCTTTTGATGTTGCTGCAAATTTCAACATTGATGTGACAATCATACTTCAACAAAAATCATGGATTATAAGGAACCCCCCCACCTATTATCAATATACTTATTTCTATTTTTTAAAAATGGGATCACTAAACCTTATTTTGTATTCAGGATATGAGTCATTTCCCTGACGCGTCTCTTCACAAAAGTCTTTTGGATATCTTTTTTTACAATGACCATTCTTCATACATGGAGAGTTTTGATTCAATACTCCACATGGCCCATGGATCATGTGTTTTAACACGACTTCATGCAATTCTGGTTTAGATTCACATCGTGGTATTTCTGCTTTCACTGCACTATCATACTCTTCAGGTTCCCGTAACTTTTCATTAGTATCCAAGATGAGTAGCATATGCATTTGTGGTAGTCCATGTTTCTGAAATTCTGTTGCATACATATAACTTTTAACTCTCCCTAAGACTCCTTTATTAATGACATTATATTTCAAATGCTCAAATTTTGATCGAAAAATTCTTGTTAGCAATTCAGGTTGATCTTGTGGAGTTTGATGGAGGCCTAGTTTAGAAGTTATCTCAATCTAAAAAGGAGTGCATGTCATTGTAAGGAATATATCCGGTTTACCATCATTAAGAACAATATCTATATCATCTTGATATCTTTGTGTCACATCTCGCTTACTACCAATAAATGATGATGGCAATATTGTCATTTGTCCGACATTATTTATATAAATATATGAAAATTATAAAAATCAAATGTGTCGATAGCGGTAAACATAAAATAGACACTCTTCATGTATATATCTAACATGTTATATTAAATACCTACGTTATTCTCCCCATCGTGCAATGCATATTGTATCCCCTGATATACCTCAAACAAAATATTATTTTGGTTTCTTTGAATCCATCTCAACCTTCATGTTTCAATCTTTACATAATTGTCTATAACATACTGTTGTAAAAGTTGACCCGATTTTAACAATACAGATTGATCATTATGACGAATCTACATTGAATAAAATAATCAATCATGACTTATTTTTTCACACTTTTAGAAGTGAATTCCTTAGAACAATAGTTTAGCATGTATCTGAAATACATAACTGTAGTGCTCCCAGCAACATTTTTTCCAACATCATTTTTTTGTTTCTATGTCCCAACCGTATGTTTCAAATGGAAATAACATAGGATATTGTAAAGAATCATAACACCCTATTGTTTATTGAACCTTTGTTAGCTTTTCATCACAGTTGATGACATTTATATCTCTTCCACGTTATATTGTATCTTCATCACCACCACCAATAACAATTTTTGGGACTTGATAAGCTGAAGGGAGACTATATTGTGGTTAATTTGACGGACATTATTTAATGAGTAACCTACATTCTTCAACAATTGGCTCTAGTGCAAGCTGCCTAAACACAACGATAAACAAGTTGCATTGGTGGAGTATTTGTTGCAATTTATACACTACGACTTGGTTAAGTATTGGGTTTTCCCTCATCCTATTTTGAAGCTCATAATCGGTATAATAAATGTATAACTTCAAGTAATGTGGCCTTGAACCTTTATTCGGATGAAAACCTCCTATTTTATGATAAATTATGCCTTAAGCACGAAATATCTAAATACCATGACCAGTTGCAACCAAACTTTCATTGACATGAACACCATGTAAAGTAAACAATATTACATGGTTGCAACTTCTAATATGTTGTCTAAAATGTCGTCCTTCAGTATAAGTGTCTGAAAATAACTGTAACAACTCGTCAGGAGAAGACACCTGTGTAATTGTCACATTTCCACCTTTGCAACACATATCTTGAGATTCTCTATAAAATAGTTTTGCAGTGCATCGTCTACACTCACTCGAAGTAGGCAGTAGGGATTTGATTTTCATAAAAGTATTTCGAAATTTTTTTATCAATGTTATGTCTTGCTCGAAAATTTTTTTGTGCTTTTGTATTTTATTACATATAAAATATACATTAAAAAAATTATTCTTATTATATACATGGTTACTAACATGAAATAATATTTAAATAAAAACATACATAATAAAATATGGATTAAAAAAACATAATCGTACCTTGATCAAAAATTGTTTGTGTTTCGTGAGTTTCAACAGGTGAATTCATATTTTGTGAAGGTGATTCTATAAAAGAAATTATTGACTTCAATATAGAATTATAATACAAAAATAAATGTATCGTGTACGTAATTATATGATTTATGTATAATTAACGTGTTTGTCTATAGATACAACCTATAAATACAACAAGACATTATCCCAACCAACCTTTTAACTATAATGATTTTATCAATGAATCAGAAAATAAATATGTCAATATACAACACATATTTTCATACAACTATATATTAATAAACCTCTTAAATTAGAATACCTCTTAAATTAAAATACGCAAAATCCAATTTAAAATAAAACAATAACACATATATAAAACCAAATAATAAGATCCCGATCAACATTTTAACTCTAAACTTGTACAATTGTCAATTTAAAAAAAATGCATATATATATATATATATATGTGTGTGTGCGTGTGCGTGTGCGTGTGGACATTAAAAAAGATTTCTAACAACACAATAAACTTAAATTCCACTACAACACAATAAACTTAAATTCCACTGATATTCCTATAGAAACTCTGTCATATGTTTCATGATATATTTTATTGTGATGCACATTTAGATATAGGGTATAAAGTATATTTTGAATAAGAATGTTTTAAGTCGCGTGCCTAAGATTATTTTATGAGATTGCTTACCACGATTTATACTCAACATTTAATCTTACAATGAAAAGTAAATGATAAACAACGAAGTGAAAATGCATAAGGTTATCTATATCATGGGAGTATTTATACTTAGAAAGTAAAATGAAATAGATAATGTGATTATCTATTTCATCCAAGTATTATTTAAATGTCGAACAAAGTTAACGAATTTAAAGTGATGCATTTTTTTAAAAACATATTTTATCATAGAGCAGTATTATTTATAGCAAATAACAAACATCACAAATTTCACTAATATATGCATATTTCCATGTAATTTCCAAAAACTTGTAAAGTTATGTTATTTATTTAAATAAAAATGTAATGATTAATTAAATGTTGTCTTTATAATCTACAACATACCACTTGTGTTGTCTAAAAATACAATCTTCATTTTGACCCACCAAAACTTGAATTCACGTGATTCCATCTACTCTATCCTCTCTCTAAATATAAAATTTCAAAGAAATAATCCTTCCTAATTTTTTATAAATATTATAAGAAAAAGCTAATGAATATCATAAAGTTGTAATATGTAGAATTCAACTTAAAAAAAAAACATACCCTATACACTTGTTTATATTGTCATTCGCAAACTTGTCGTGAAAGAATCTTTCGTGAGAATAAGCATTTTTCTTCATGATATTGTCATATATTTTTCCTAAATAAAAAAACTTTCAATTTAAATAAAAAATATAGCATTATTATAAAATAAATTATAAAATGTACCTTTGTGAATAATAAGGTGACTCGGATATGAGGAGATAACACCAACAACTAAAATGAAATGATAAAAAATATGATTAATGGTTCATGAGGAAAGCAACATGATAAAGAGACGGAAAGAGCATCTGCAATTAAATTGAAAGGCGTACACGTAGATTAATTTGATAAAGTCAATTTAAAAGATGTATAAAATTCTAAACATTAACATGGTTAAACTATAATATTCCTACTCTTTTAATTCTAAGATAGGCATGTCATGTATATTTTTCATTTATGTCTTAATCCATTTATTTGCAGTAGTAGGTTCACTCCAAACATAACTATTACATTCATACCATCTTGTTCAACTCAAACATAACTCAATTCACTTTTAACCAACAATATTTGTAAAATAAAATTCATTTGCATATTATAAAACACTTAAACGTGACTAATAATAAATAAATTGTCTGTAATTCATAATAAAAAAATCAACAGTGAATAAAGAAATAGCATAAAATTTTGTATAGACTATTATGAGAAATATAATTAAAAATAGCTTCTACCGAATCCTCGAGCTCCGCAATAGTTGCTTTCTTTTAAACTTTAATATTTAAAAACCACAAAAAATAAATCAATCTTCAATAACATGCAACTCTATCGTATAGGATAACTTTTTAAATTGACCTTATCAATCTAATGTGACACTACTATAATAATATCTTTGCTTTTGTAATAAAGTAACATATACTTTTATATAAGAGAAAATATTTTTAGACTCTTGTTATTTCTTCTCATAATAAAAAAAAACCAAACCTTTTTTTTTTTATAATCAAACAAACTTTATAAAGAAAGGAGTATTATGAGTACTCCAACCCGATAAACAAAGACCAGAGCAAAACAACTCAACCCGAAACGAAAAGGTTACAAACCCTGACTTAATGTTTCAAACCCTTGGACCAAAAATATTTCTCAAAGCTTATAATTTTATTTCAATTATATGATTTTATTCCAGCCATTTTTCAAGTGTTCTTTTAACGTATTATGAAAAAATGTTAACGACAAAACAAATTGTTAATTCTTTCCTAATATATTTCATTCTTTGACCAATATATAAGGGTATGACGTCAAGGGAGTGTTCTTAATAATATTTTCATACTCTGTCATTTTTGTCTCTAATTTTATAAATTTATGTATTTTCATACTGTTTTTTCTAGAAGGAAGATAACCGTCATTGTTACCGCATATGTCGTTGTAGTCGATTGGTGGAAGAACTAGACTCTCCTGCGATGTCAAGTAATTTTTCTGTACCCAAAACAATGGAAATTAAACTTAGTAATAGAACTGAAATAACATATTATAGCTATACTGACATTAGCACTAAAAACTGTAGATTTGGTAACACCATCATAAAATAACATTAATACACCTTCGAAAAAAAGAGGCGAAAGAAACACATTATATGGTCAAAGATCTTAACTAAGGATTTTCAAAAGAAAAAAATTGAAAGTTTATCAAAGAGAAAAAATACAAATCGATACATATGAAAATTTTGGCAAATAAAAATCTTTGAGCAGAAAACTGAAAGCTTATCATTGAAAAAGATCAGTTTTGAAGATGTTAAAGAAAACACTAACTACAAACATATATACTCTGATGCACTACTTGTGGTGGCTCTTACTGTAATGCATTACTTGTGTTGGCAGTTTTGTGGTAGTTTCAATTAGAGGTGGCAATGAAATCCATTTAGATAATATACATCCAATTCATCCAATAATTTATTCATCCAATTCATCCATAAGACAAAAAATAATTTAATGGATTTGATCCAATCCATCCACTAACTCATATGGATGAATTCAATCCACCCATCTCATTTTATAAATCCGTTGGATATTATATTGTCACTTATTAAATTAAGAATTTTTAAATTAATTTTTTGGATGGATGGATATCCATCCATTAGAAATATGTTAATGGATGGATTGGATGAATTTTATCTTTAAATGGATGGATTTGATTTGATTTTTATTAAGAGAATTTAGTGAATTGTTAATGGATTAATGGATTGCTTTGATTCATCCATTAACAATCCAATCCATATCCATCCAATCCATCCATTTTGCCACCTCTAGTTTCAATACTACGTGGGAGTATTTACATATAAAACTTAAATTAAAAAATAAGCGAAGATGGTAAAATCCAAAAACCATGTAGAAATAGTACTGGAAATTAATGTTAGTGGAGTGAAGGGAAATTCATTTGTTAATTTATATATTAAAATTTATTTTTAAATCTAAATAATATTATTTTAAAAGAAAAAATAGGTAAATTAGAATAACCTTAAAGGATAATTTTGAAAAGTGAAATAGGCTACACTAAAATAATGTTTTACCTTTATATATTGTTATAGATAAATGAACATGGTAAAATCCAAAAACCACGTAGATATGGTACTGAAGGTTAATGTTAGTGGAGTGTAGGGAAATTCATTTGTTAAATTATATGTTAAATTTAATTTTTAAATTTAAATAATATTATTTTAAAAGAAAAAATAAGTAAATTAGAATAACCTTAAAGGATAATTTTGGAAAGTTAAATAGGTTATACCAAAACTATGTTTTGGCTTCTGTTATAATATATTAAAATTGAGTCTCACACTATTGTATTAACAACTCATTCACTTATTCGCCACATTACAAACAATCTGAGGTATTAACACCCTTCACGTCCTTCGTACTCGACGGGATCCACACTTGTTGTCTATCTAAAAGGGTGTAAAACTATCTAAAGGTTGGAGAACGAAGGTGAAAGAAAAGAAAGGAGACTCGATAGAGCATCGCCGCTCTATGCCTACGTATTCCCTCGTGCAATGGGAAAGCCAGAGTCAACGTAGTTCGAAAAACTACGGGTGAAAGGTGGGGAAGGTTGCTCACCAAGATATCGTCGTCTTGTGCCTACGTATCCTCGTCTGGTACGAGAAATCAGAGCAAACGTAGTTCGGGCTGACACGACCACAGATTGGTTCAAGTGTTTTAACTGAGTAGGGTTAAACCTTCGTTCTAGCAGTTAGGGACGATGCCTATTTGCGGTAGAACCAAAGCTTAACAAAACTCTTTCTGAAAATGGTTTTCCAATTCAGATCCCGAAGGATAAAAAGATTTGATGTTTTTGTTTTTGTGTTTTTTAGACAAAGAAGTGGATTGAGTTATGGTTTGAAACTCATGTCGCACTAAAGACTATGACTCGAGAGTGAATGCGTCGCATATCGCCCAAAGGGCATACACTAATCACTCTAGACAGTTGAGAGGAGGCC